CTTGGGTAGCCATTGGGCTGGATGGACTACTGATCTGATCCAACAACACAAACACACATACACTCCTTGTTATGAAGATCTGATTGTACACTCTCTTCTGTCCTTGCCCCAGGTGAATTCTCTGTACATTTCTCATGCATGCATTTCCTTAATGTCATCTTAATTCTTACCTAACCAATCCACTATTCAGAAGCCACTGGCTATTTTCATGAGACCCTCATCAATGTTTTGTGATACTTCCAGACATTCCAGATGAAGGCAACAACCAAGGCTGCCTCATTATAACTTATTATTCATTACATTTGTAGCCTACCTTTCTTCCTCTGAAGCATGCAAGGCACCACACATGGTTCTCTCCTTTCCCAATTTTATCCTGTTAGGAAGGTTAAGCTGAGAGGTGATGACTAGTCTAATGATTCTCCTACCTGGGCAGTTATCTCTCCACAAGGGCTGACATTGATGCCGAAATAATAATAATAATCCACCAACCCTGAGCTCTGCGAGTGCGGCTTTCTCCCTATTGAAATGCAGAGTGTTTGAGGACCGGGACATTCGCAGGGAAATCAAAATGCTTGTTAACAAAGCTATTGTACTACCAACCTTCCTGTATGCTTGTGAAACATGGACCACTTATAAACACCATATCCAGCTCCTCAAAAGATTCCATCAACGGTGTCTCTGAAATTTTTTTACACATCACTTGGGAAGACAGGCGAACTAATACCAGTGTACTGGAAGAAGCAAAGATCACCAGTTTTGAAGCAATGATTCTTCAACATCAAGTTTGTTGGACTGGTCACGTTGTGCGGATGCCTGATTATCGTCTTCCAAAGCAACTACTCTATTCTGAACTTTAAAATGGAAAGCGTAATGATGGTGGTCAACAAAAGAGGTTTAAAGACTGTCTCAAAGCAAATCTAAAGAAAATGTAGTATAAACACCAACAACTGGGAAACACTTGCCTACGAGCGCTCCAATTGGAGAACAGCCTTTTCCAAAGGTGTCATGGGCTTTGAAGACACTCGAACTCAGGACACATGGGAGAAGTGTGCTAAGAGGAAGGCACACTTGCCAAACCCTCACCATGATCAACTCCCACCCAGAAACCAATGTCCCCACTGTGGAAGGACATGTGGATCCAGAATTGGCCTCCACAGTCACTTATGGACTCATTGTTAAAACCATGTTTATGGAAGACAATCTTACTCGACTATGAGTGATTGCCAAAGAAGAAGGTCCAAGGATACTGGGTGACCCTCATAGCTGAGTGAAGATCGGTCCTAGTCTAACACCCTAATTGCTGCATTACAGTTGCCCACTATTTACTAGGTTTTCCTATTGAGAGGTCTGCATCTCTCTCTCTCTCTCTCTTAGACCTGAGCTCTACTCACAAGTGTGTAGGCTTATAAATGCACAGATGAATGACTGGAATCAAACGCACCCCTTCCATCAGCAACCTATGTGGTTTTAGCAGAAGAAACGGGCAGATCTGTATGTATTTCTATGTATGAGAAGGGCACTTGCCTTTTGTGTAAAACTTCACATTTATGGCTATGCTCAGATCTTCTGCTGAATACGAAGAAGCCCTGTGTGGGCAGGACTATGTTGCAGATGGATGAATCTATCCATTGTTTGTTTCTCTCCATTTCTCATTTTCCCATTTTTAAGTTTGGTTTGTCACGTTTATGCCAGTGATTTTCCCATTATAGAATGCACGCTTTATGTTACTTCCACTAATATATACACATTTTGGACTTTTCTGCAACATACTTTTTCCCCCTTTTTTTGAGAACTGCATTGTAAAGTTAGTAAAAGTGCAAATTTCAAAGGACAGCTGTGGTTCATTTCATGCATTGGTTCAGGAAACTCAAAGTGGTTAGGTTCTCATTAAAATTTGAACTGAATGAATCTTTCCCCCATGACTATATAGAAATTGAAACTGATGTTCTTAATATGTCCTGGTGGGAAAGAAGACAGTGACCATATATGATGTATTTTAAATAATTTTCCTAAACTGATTTTTGCCAATGATCATATCTGGTCACAACTCACTGGGGTAAATTAAGGACCTAACTTTCAGGGATCAGCAAAATCCAGACATTACAATATATCAATCCTCCGTTTTGCATCTCATTTAGCTTGTTTTGTGGTAGAATAGCTCCAGAAAATAAACCTCTGTTGTCACTGAAAATCTCACATATTTAATAATTTTGTTACGTAACTATGTAATAACTATGTAATAAATACATAACATATCCAATTCCTTCAAGACTTATTCATTTTATTACATAGTCATAAGTCTTGAAGGAATTAGATACGTTGTAATTGGTTGGATATTTTTCATTTTAATCTATTCACAACTGACACTAGTTCATATTTTCATTCTTTTGTAACATTTCTATTTCTTTTTCTATTCCCTTTCAGTCAGGCTTCTCCTAACAACTTTTTTTCAAGTACAAGAATAATCTCACTCTGTTTTTCAATCTCACTGGTCTAATAACATCCAAATTCCATCTTGATTTCATCATAATATTTATAATTCATAATAGCCACCAAGGAGTCCATCCACTTCTAATTGTACTTGATATTTACATAAATAAATAATTGTTTTATCTTTTGGGAAAGTTCTCTGATATATTATTTTCTTTTTATTATTTTTTTCAAAAAAGATCTTTAAATATTTAAAATTCAACATGTGCCGAAAGACGCTGTTAGCTTGAATAAAAATCATTAAAAATGCATTTTATGCTATTAAATATTGCATAATTTCTTTGACAGATTTTCAAATGCATCACATGAGACCATTGTATCCCTATCCTGAAGGCAATCCTAAACTTGGGCCAAAAATAATTTTTTAAAATCCTCTTTGTTGTGGAGAAGTAGCATAATCCATAATAGATGGGCTATGGCTTAACGAATAATCTTTAAGGAGCTTGGAAGAAAGGGTAGCTTAAAAGTATTATGCTATGTGTGGTGTGTAGCAGTTGCTTTCAGATTACTTAAATGGCTTAAAACTTTAATTGAAAGTGCTTTTTTCCTCTCCAGCTTAGTCTAAGTTTACATAAGAATGTGACAGGAGAGACATATAAAAAGTGAAAGGCAATGTACTTTCATCCAAGACCCTTCAGGCTAAACTTGCTTATGACTGTGGCAATCAGCATCAGACAAATCTGATTCATTTTTATTTAATAATACAAAGAGGACCTTAAAATTGTCTAGTTGGCTGGCCTCCTCAAACAGAACAAACCAAATGTGTTGGTTGGGTGGGGCTTCGGTGAAGGTTTAACAGAACTTTTTGGGTGGATATTGATTTTGAGTTCAAACATTAACGATAATCTTTGGTACTTTCCCACTAAATCCTTAATGCAAAGTGAGGAAAACACAGCCTTTGAGGGCCTTGTTCTCTATGTGATCTTAATTGTGTGGAAGAAGACAGTGGGCCTTCATCTCCAGGTCCCATCTCCATCACTGGGTCCCGATCTTCCCCTCCACCGTCTATGTGTCAGAGGGAATGTCTGAAAGGGGGAGCCTGTGCCATCTGCTTAGTGTCACCCATGATTTAGCATAGTAAGGTGAGAAAGACTTTGTGCCGGTCATCAGGCAATGTCTTCTTCCACCTGCCTTACCCCACGCTCCAGCCTTAGGAGTCTTCATAAAGGAGCTGTTTCCAGAGGAAGAACTGTGAGGGGAGAGAGACTTTGTGCTGGCCATCAAGCAATAGCTTCTTCTACTTGCCTTGCTTACCCGCTCCAGCCCTAGGAGCCTTTCCCAGACCATGACTTTGAGAAACAGCAAAAGCAGCTGTAAAGAGAGAAAAGCTCAGGGATACAAAGTTGTGTGCCCTTGTCTCTTATTTTGATCCCTTTGCATGGTTTTGTATGTTTTGTGGTATTTTATGCAGTGTGACTTCATTGGTTATAGCTTCATAATTCTTTATTGTTATTGTTAAGTGTAAACTGTTTGCAGTGGTACATCGGGTTACAGATGCTTCAGGTTACAGACTCCACTAACCCAGAAATAGTACCTCAGGTTAAGAACTTTGCTTCAGAATAAGAACAGAAATTGTGCGGTGGCGGTGCAGTGGAGGCGGGAGGCCCCATTAGCTAAAATGGTACCTCAGGTTAAGAACAGTTTCAGGTTAAGAACGAACCTCCAGAACGAATTAAGTTCTTAACCTGAGGTACCACTGTAATTATTATTTGCTGATATTTAATTTTACTGTTTACTATTATATTCTAATGGATTATTAAATTTTGCTTTATTTGATATAAGTGGTTTGTTTTAAAGCTATGTTATTATTACTTTTTTCCTTTTGGATCAGATTGCTATTAGGTGTGTGATGTTTGCTCTCTATTTTATGGTTTCTTCACCTTGTAAACTGGCTTGCATATAGTAATATAGAAAGGCGGTAAACAGATTAAAAGTGAATTGAAATAATGAAATGAAATGAAAACCCTTGCCTTTTCCCCTGGACCCATGAGGTCCAGCTCCGAGGGCCTTCTGGTGGTTCCCTCACTGCAAGAAGTGAGGTTACAGGGAACCAGGCAGAGGGCCTTCTCGGTAGTGGCGCCCACCCTGTGGAACACCCTCCCATCAGATGTCAAGGAAATAAAAAACTATCCGACTTTTAGAAGACACTCCCAATACAAATTAAAACCCATATTTTCTTGGTCCTTGGGCAAGTTTTCTTCAAAGCAATCCCTCCCTGAATGCCTCTGTTTGTTTCACCACTATTTGTTTGTCCTCTTCCTCTGGACCCAAATTACATGGAGAGCCTGATGGAGATGAAGTTAGAAGCAAATCCTATCACTGGTCCCTCACTGAAAAGATGCAAGCAAAACTTAGGCAGCATACATTTAAAACACATTTCTCCCCGAGGATTCTTGGAACTGCAGTTTACCATTCAAAGAGCTACAGTTCCAGCCCCCTTAACAACAGAAAAGTGCCCAGATCAATGGAAGACAATAACACAATGAAATTCAAAACAGTAACAATTTATTGCACGTTGATTCAGAATCCATTAAAAACAATTTAGTTTAAGGTATGCAAGAAAATCGATCAGCTTGATCCAGTGACACCAGAGAGAGCCATTTTCAAATAACTCAAGGGCTGTCACATGGAAGATGCAGCCAGCTTTTTTTCTCCTGCTCTGGATGGTAGGACTCAAACCAATGGCTTCAGGATACAACAAAGGAGATTCCGACTGAACATTGTTCAACAGAGGAATGGACTCCCCTGGAAGGTGATGGACTCTCCTTCCTTGCAGGTTTTAAAGCAGAGATTAGATGACCATCTTTCTTTCTTTCTTTCTTTCTTTCTTTCTTTCTTTCTTTCTTTCTTTCTTTCTTTCTTTCTTCTGCCCAACCTCAGTCCATATTTCATGGCTAATTAAATCATCTGTCCCTCTCCTGATTCTCAGTGCCTCTTCCTCTGCCAGTCTTTGGCCAGTTGAGATGTTCAAATAGAGCAGCAATTTCTTCAAGGAGGAAAATCATAACTCCTCAATTATGATGTCATCTGGATGGAAAAGAATAAAAAAGAGAGAAAATCAGTTCAGTCCTCTCCGTTTCTTGTAGCTGGAGTCAGTCTGGGTGCTGCCCTCCCAGGCCAGGTGGGAAAGGCCTGCCAGGCAGGGAGCAGGTCCTGCAGGACTCCCAGCAAGAAGACCTGGGAGGTGTGTCTTGGGCAAACAAGGGACAAGGGAGTTCACTGTCCCCAAGGTGTGGGGCTTACCTTCTTTCAGATTATTCCTGAAACAAGCCTGCTCCGGACGAATTACTGTGTTCTGCAGAGGAAAGACAAATTTGAGTCAGATGACACTATTACCCCACCCTGGATGGGTGTAAGAGAAGCAGCCCCACCCAGGAAGGATGGAAACAACCAAAGAACTGAATACAGTGGTGCCTCGCAAGACGAAATTAATCCGTTCCGCGAGAGTCTTCGTCTAGCGGTTTTTTCGTCTTGCGAAGCAACCCTATTAGCGGCTTAACAGATTAGCGCTATTAGCGGTTTAGCGGCTATTAAAGGCTTAAAGGCTTAGCGGATTAGCTGCTAAAAGGCTATTAAAGGCTATTAAAGGTTTAGCGGATTAGATAAAGGGGGGGAAAAGCGAAAAAAAAATCTCAAGACTCGCAAGACATTTTCGTCTTGCAAAGCAAGCCCATAGGGAAATTCGTCCTGTGAAGCAACTCAAAAACGGAAAACCCTTTCGTCTAGCGGGTTTTCCGTCTTGCGAGGCATTCGTCTTGCGGGGCACCACTGTACAGGAAGGCAAAATACTTACTCTGAGGTTCGGGAATCTTCGTGAAAGGGCCAGCAGCAGGGATATACTGCTGGCCCCTAATTTTCTTTGGTCTTCACTCCCCAAAAGGGCGTAATATCGGAGGTCCTGCGGGATGAAAGAAATGGGACAGTTAGTTGGGTAAGGGACAGGGGGGCAACCCTAAAACCACTCCTGGTGCTATCAGGATACTTACAGTAAGCAACTGGAGAAGGGTGCTAGTATTGGGGGCTTCTAGGAGGAGACCCCCCAGCAGGCTCTGGAATGGCCTCTTCAGTCCCTGTGGGAAAAGAGAGAAGAGAGGTTGACTGCTGCTGGGTTAAATTTTGTAAGAGTGTGGGAAGAAGAAAGAGCTGTGCAAAGAGAAGTTAAAGCAGAGGACATACCTCTTTGTCCTCCTCTGCGCTCCCCAGAACTGCCTCTGTTGTTCTATGGAGGATCGCACTCACCACAGAGGGACTGAAGTGGGGTCTCATAAAACTGGAGAGAGAAAGGGAAGGGGTTAGACACTGCCTCCTCCAAGTCTCCCTTGTCCCCTTCTCCCTCCTGCCTGACTTGCCCACCCAAAGTTCCCCCTGGAGTTCTGCCCCCCTGCAGCCGCACCCACCCCAAAGACCCCACTCACCTCAACTGCAGGAGGGCCTCAAAGGCCAGGGCCAGGCTCAGGGGGCGATCCCTGAAGTACTCCAAGTGGCCGAGGATGTCCTGGAAGAGAGCAGAGGAGGAAAGTCAGCTCCTTCCAGGAGTCTCCAGAGGACGGCTCCAACCCCAAACACCAGCCCCCTCTCTGCCCCTCCCTCCCCATGGGGGTCCCTCACACCACCCATCACTCACCAGAATGGCTTTGGCAGTCTCCTCCTTGGAGTACTTCAGGGTTCGGAGCCCCCTGAGCCGAGCTGCCTGGCAGTCCTGGATGATGCCCAGGAGATACAGCTGATCTTTGTCTAGCAGCTGAAAGGCAAAAGTCAGGCTGTCAGTTCCTTGCGGGGGGAGGGCTCCTCCACATCTGAGAGTGCAGAGTGGAGTGCAAGAGGGGGGCAGGTTTCCCCCTCTTTTATCCAATACTCTCGTTTTATCCAATACTCACCACAACGGAGGGATGTGGATTCCTAGCACATCTGCAAAGAGAAGGACATGGGGATTGGCGACTTCCTCCCTGAGCCCCTTGCAAGGCTTTTCCAAGAGTTTTCTCCTGGATTCCAAGTCCTACTACAGGAAAAAGACACCCCAAGCCTTGGGGGCCAATCCTGCCCTCCTGCCCCCAGAACATGGCTCCCCAGGGAAGATGCCCCTCCCACTGACAACTGCCCCCCTGCCTTGCCCCACAGCCCAGCCCCCTGCTTCCTCCAACAGACCCCACAAAATGGGGTGGTTACTGGGGGCGGGGGCGGTTGGGTTTCTAGATGCTGTCACAGATAGGCAGGTTGGATCCAGCCGTCTGGCTCTGTGCATCTTTTTACTAGATGCCCCTCTAGACCATTCCTGCCCTCCTCCGTCCCCAAAAGGAGGGCCACTTGGTCACCTGACACCGGAGGCTGCTCCAGGACTTCCAAGGGGGCCACCTTGTTGCAGCTGATCAGGCGCCTTAAGCGCCTGAACCTAGAAGAGACGAGCAGAGAGAGCGACTCAGAAACTGGCAGCCCCAATTTGGGTGTGTGTGTGTAAGGAGGGGCGTCTGGCCCAATTCCTGCCATCTATCTGCAGTTCTGCAACCTGAAAGGGCATCGGCAGAGCTGGAAAGAGGCAGCCCAGAGCACGAATGGCTGGCAGAGAGAGAAAGGAGGCCCCAAGTGCTATGGGTTCAAGAGCTCCAACCCAAAGGGAAGACAAGCATTGCCAACTGTTAAAGGGCTGCTCTGCCTCGTCTTCTTAGGACAGCCCTGCCCTTCCTGGTGAGGGAGGGGACCCCTAGGAGGGTCCTCCAAGCATCAAGGTGACCCAGAAGAGGAGCAGAACATGAGGAAGGGGGTAGAGTTTTTCTTGGAGCCAGAGAGACCCCCCCCCAGGAAGGGGAAGAAGGCCAATGTTGTAGGGCAGCTGGAGAGATGCAAAATGGAGCCAGGCAGAGGTGTAGTGGTTGGAGGGCTGGACTGGGAGGACCTGGGAGAGCAGAGTTCAAATCGCCACTCAGCCATGAAGCTCCCTGGTGGACCAGAGAGCTAAAGCTGTGGAGGGGACCCAGGACTCACACCCCGCCCCCAGGAGACCAAGAGAAAGCAAAGGAATGGTACTTACAGCCGGCACATCTTCTTGAATACCCCCCCATCTAAGCTAACTACCTAGCTAAAATTCCTACCCAAGCCTGATCCCAAACTCTGATCCCACCCCCACCCCCCAGCCCTAACCCTAAACCTAACCCCCACCCTAACCCTACATTTACCCCTAACTATTCTTCTATAAACAAAAGAAATATATTCAGAAATGCGCACAAATATGCACAAATGCTCACAAATGTGCACAAATATACACAAATGCACACAAATATGAACAAATGTGCACAAATGTGCACAAATGCACACAAATGTGCAAAAAATAAAAAATAAAAAAATAAAAAAAATAAAAGAAATAAAAAAGTAAAAAGTAAAATAAAATTGTTAAAATAAAAAAGGTAAAATAAAAAAGGTAAAATAAAAATAAAATAAAAAATAAATAAAATAAAATGAATCAAATAAAAGTAATAAATAAAAGAAAAAGAAAAATAGCAAGCAAACCTCTCCTCTTCTACAACCACCAGCAACACTACCTCTCTCTCCTGACTCTCCTCACTAACCCACAATGGCTGCCTGCAAGTCAGAGACTTTTAAGGGAAGAGCAAGAGATGTCACAAAGGAGGGCAGGTCCTTGTCACCATGGCAACCCCTCCACCTGGACCTGGCCCCTCCTGAGAGGTGATGCTTCTCTGTCAAAACTTGGAGGCACCTTCTGTTCTGCCTGCAGCTGGGCTGTATCTTCTATCCACAGATTCACATCGGCATTTCACATCCTTCTTGCTGCAGCCCCATTTCCAAAGGGAGACCACCCCCACATCCTTCAAGGCAGGCTAGGGGTCTCCATAGTGCAGGATTGAACCATCTGCTTTGCATGCAGGCCTTCTGTCCTGGGAATGCCCCCCCCCATTCGAAACCCTGGATAGCTGCTGCCAGTCAGCGCAGGCTAGTTGAAGAAGGATATTGAGCATCTGGAAGGTGAGCAGAGGAGGGCGACCAGGATGATGAAGGGTCTGGAAACCAAGCCTCATGAGGAATGGTTGAGGCAGCTGGGTATGTTTAGCCTGGAGAAGAGGAGACTGAGAGGAGAGAGGAGAGCCATCTTTCAACATCTGAGGGCTGCAAGAGGGAGCAGGCTTGTTTTCTGCTGCTCTAGAGAGGAGCGCAGGAAAGAAGATTCAGACTAAACATTAGCAAGAACTTTCTGATGGTAAGACTCTCTGGGACGGTGATGGACTCTCCTTCCTTGGAAGCTTTTAAGCAGAGGTTAGAAGCCAATCTATGAGGGATTCAGTTGCAATTTGGGGAGCGCATAGCACTCGCCTACTTTACAGGGTTGTTGTAACCACACAGGGCTGCTGAGCATCCAAAAGTGCCTGACAAATGTTGAGCTTTCCATTTCATTGTGGGGAACAGCTGCAGCGCATCAGGAGGTGTCCCTCAACTTCTGTTTCTTCTCTCTCCTGCAGCCAAAGGGGCCGGGCTGGATTACCAAATAGGCAGAGTAGGCACTGGCCTATGGGCCCCACACTTTTTAGGGGTCAATGGGTCAAAATAATATTGATTTGATCTTGAAAGACAACTATAAGCTTTCTTACTTCAATCTTATTATAGTGTGTGCTTTAGGCCTGTCCCCCGCCCAGATTTTGACTGCCAGGGGGCCTCCACAGGGTTTAATTAGCAGGTCTTTTTTATCTCCTTTTTTCACACCTGTTTCATAGCTCAAATTTTAATGATTTTTAGGAAACAGGAATCTCCTGCTCATGGCGATGACTGGACAGTTGCCAATTTGTGCAGTGCTCGCTCCCAGCATTCCTGCCTCCACATTATGTAGTGAGTGGCAGTTATCGGATGAACTGTGGTTTAACGGCCAGTCCCCTCTACCCTGGGGGGGGGGTCTGTTTACTATTATATTCTAATGTATTATTGAATACAGTGGTACCTTGGGTTAAGAACTTAATCATTCTGGAGGTCCGTTCTTAACCTGAAACTGTTCTTAACCTGAGGTACCACTTTAGCTAATAGGGCCTCCTGCTGCCACCACACCTCCGGAGCATGATTTCTGTTCTCATCCTGAAGCAAAGATCTTAACCGAAGGTAATATTTCTAGGTTAGTGGAGTCTGTAACCTGAAGCGTCTGTAACCTAAAGAGTCTGTAACCCGAGGTACCACTGTATTCCTTTACTTGATGTAAGTTTTTTTTTTTTTTAAACACTATGTTGTTGTTATTACTTTTTTCTTTTGGATCAGATTGCTATTAGGTGTGTGGTGTTTTCTCTCTATTTCATTGTTTCTTCACCTTGTAAACTGGCTTGTGTATAGTAATATAGAAAGGCGGTAAACAGATTAAAAGTGAATTGAAATAATGAAATGAAATGAAAACCCTTGCCTTTTCCCCTGGACCCATGAGGTCCACCTCCGAGGGCCTTCTGGTGGTTCCCTCACTGCAAGAAGTGAGGTTACAGGGAACCTGGCAGAGGGCCTTCTCAGTAGTGGCGCCCGCCCTGTGGAACACCCTCCCATCAGATGTCAAGGAAATAAAAAACTATCCGACTTTTAGAAGACACTCCCAATACAAATTAAAACCCATATTTTCTTGGTCCTTGGGCAAGTTTTCTTCAAAGCAATCCCTCCCTGAATGCCTCTGTTTGTTTCACCACTATTTGTTTGTCCTCTTCCTCTGGACCCAAATTACATGGAGAGCCTGATGGAGATGAAGTTAGAAGCAAATCCTATCACTGGTCCCTCACTGAAAAGATGCAAGCAAAACTTAGGCAGCATACATTTAAAACACATTTCTCCCCGAGGATTCTTGGAACTGCAGTTTACCATTCAAAGAGCTACAGTTCCAGCCCCCCTTAACAACAGAAAAGTGCCCAGATCAATGGAAGACAATAACACAATGAAATTCAAAACAGTAACAATTTATTGCACATTGATTCAAAATCCATTAAAAAACAATTTAGTTTAAGGAATGCAAGAAAATCGATCAGCTTGATCCAGTGACACCAGAGTGAGCCATTTTCAAATAACTGTGTCTTTTCGGTAGTGGCGTCCGCCCTGTGAAATGCCCTCCTATCAGATGTCAAGGATATAAACAACTATCTGACTTTTATTTTTATTTTTAAAAGATTTTTATTATGATTTCAATAAAGAAGTTAAACAAAAAAAAACCATAAAAGTAGAAACTCAAAAATACACAATACATAATCTAAAAAGAAAAAGAAAACACAGAAAACAAAATACAAAAGAAACAAACAAAAAAAAAAACAGAACACTTAAAAACAATATCACTTTTCCATTTCCGTTTTTGAATTTACTTATTTTCTGGACTTCCTCATACCTCCCTCTTTTGTATTCCAGTCCAAATTGTTTGTCCAGCAATTTCTTTTCCACTTTTTAATCCCAATCGTTAATCTTAATATAATATATAACACTTAAACTTCTTTAATCCTAATCTTTAATCTTAATGTAATATAACATTAAAATTTTACCTCTTAAGTACCAAATTTCCATTTCCTTAAACATCTTTAATCCTAATCTTTAATCTTAGTCTATCAATAACTTTAACCTGTACAGCTGGAAACCACTTATTTTCGATCCAACATCACTCTAACATTCTTTAATTTTGCAGTGTTTCTGAAGATAATCTTTGAATTTCTTCCAATCTTCCTCCACCAACTCTTCTCCCTGGTCACGGATTCTACCAGTCATTCCCGCCAGTTCCATATAGTCCATCAGTTTCATCTGCCATTCCTCCAGCGTGGGAAGTTCTTGTGTCTTCCAATACTTTGCGATGAGTATTCTTGCTGCTGTTGTTGCATACATAAAGAAAGTTCTATCCTTTTTAAGCACCATTTGGCCGACTATGCCCAGGAGAAAGGCCTCTGGTTTCTTAGGGAAGGTATATTTAAATACCTTTTTTAATTCATTATATATCATTTCCCAGAAAGCCTTAATCTTTGGGCACGTCCACCAGAGGTGAAAAAATGTACCTTCAGTTTCTTTACATTTCCAACAACTATCTGACTTTTAGAAGACATCTGAAGGAAACTATGTTTAGGGAAGTTTTTAATGTTTGATGTTTTATCATGTTTTTCATATTCTCTTGGGAGTGGCTGGAGAAACCCAGCCAGATAGGTGGGGTATAGATAATAATAAAAAATTATAAGAAATAACAAATTATTATTATGGTAGGGACATGGGTGGCGCTGTGGGTAAAACCTCAGTGCCTAGGACTTGCTGATCGTAAGGTCGGCGGTTCGAATCCCTGCAGCGGGGTGAGCTCCCGTCATTCGGTCCCAGCTCCTGCCCACCTAGCAGTTCGAAAGCACCCCTAAGTGCAAGTAGATAAATAGGTACCGCTTTATAGCAGGAGGGTAAACGGTGTTTCCGTGCGCTACTGGTGCTGGCTCACTAGTGCAGCTTCGTCACACTGGCCACGTGACCCGGAAGTGTCTTCGGATGGCGCCGGCTCCCCGCCTCTTGAGCGAGATGGGCGCGCAACCCTAGAGTCGGACACGACTGGCCCGTACGGGTAGGGGTACCTTTACCTTTATTATTATGGTTATTATGATTATTCATCCACATAATTAAGCTTGTCCACCCATACTGGGTTTATGTGGAGAATGCACTTATCTGCATAGGTATTCTATGGGGCTGCCACCTTGCCGATATGGACGTCATGAGCATTTGAAAAAGTGCCCTTGCAGATGCAAATGTCCCTGAATGTCTGTGAGCCTTTGCAAGACCTTCTGAATGTGAGCAACTGTCAACCTTTTTCACTCCGCTTCAGGACCTACAAACCTTACCTGGGACAAAAAAAGTTGAAGGGTATGCCAACTCTTCAGTAGAGCACCATTTCCCACTGTGTTCTAGCATCCTCAGTGGGGAAATGATGTTCTTCTAATCAGTTACCACCAAGAGAAAGGTCTTTCAAGCACCAGAGAACCTTCTCCTCAGTGGAAACTGGCGTGAATGATTTCCTTTTGTGGATGCTGGAAATTGTCTATTCCCTAAATTGGTGAGGAAGAACACTCTTCCAGGGAGATGGTGTTCTCTCTGCCACCTCTGCTGCCACATCCCCCTTCTGCTGACCCTAGGAAGGTATGTGGGTCCTTGGGGAAACAGGGGGAAGGGGGGTGAGAGTAGGTAGCTTCGAGAGTAGCTTCGAGAACCCATAAAATGTTTTGTAAGTGCTAGTTAGCACTGAGCCACTTTCAGGTTGATCATTCTGAGCCACTGCATTAGGTCATGTCTGTAGCATTGCTAGGTTGCACACATGTACCATTCATACAAAATGGCAACCCTGTGGAGCACTTAAACTGTAAATAATAATAATAATAATAATAATAATAATAATAATAATAATTTATTAGTTATACTCCGCCTATCTGGCTGGGCTTCCCCAGCCACTCTGGGCGGCTTCCAACAAAATATTAAAATACAGTAATGCATCAAACATTAAAAGCTTCCCTAAACAGGGCTGCCTTCAGATGTCTTCTAAAAGTCTGGTAGCTGTTGTTCTCTTTGACATCTGGTGGTAGGGCGTTCCACAGGGCGGGTGCCACTACTGAGAAGGCCCTCTGCCTGGTTCCCTGTAACTTGGCTTCTCGCAGTGAGGGAGAAGGCCCTCGGCACTGGACCTCAGTGTCCGGGTAGAAAGATGGGGGTGGAGACGCTCCTTCAGATATAGAAGAGTTTGGATTTGATATCCTGCTTTATTCCTACCCAAAGTAGATCCATCAGAGTTATCAGTCTTAACCAGGGTAGCACTAGGAGGTGTTCCAGTCATCACTTGTAGTTGCTGCGCAGCTGGAGAAGAATTATCGCGCAGATGTATAGAAGGACATGAGCGCGGAGATGGTACATGCATAGTCATTTCCTGGTGATCTCCAGACAGGGTAGATTCTAGCTCAGGCATTGAGGCAAAGGAATCGTCAACTTCCATATTTTGATTGGACATAAGGTCTAAGACGGGAGTATTGAGTTTATCAGCTTCCTCCACGGTAGAATGGTGCTGTTGGAGCTGTTGGTCAACAGGTGATTGCTGATTCAGATCAGTAGGGGGTAACAAAGTAGCAGGTTGAGAGATTATCAGGGCATTTGATGGAGACGCCTTGTGGGACGTGGAGTGCCTGCTCTCCTCTCTCATCGGCATAGAGGGTCCCCTTGCGATAGGAGTCTTTGTTTGAGTAGATCCAATCTATCGAGAATAGCCTGCTGTTCTTCTGAAGGGAGTTTTCCATAGGAGAAGATAAGATTTCTCTCTTCAGGGATATTCCAATCTCCGCTTGCAATTGGATCATTCCTCAGTGTAGCTAGATGGGCACTTGAGGTCGCAGATGGAGCAGGGGGTACCCAACTAGGTGTTTTCCCCTGTATTATAGGAACAGAAGGAGGAAACGAGCGTTCATTGCCGGTTAAGGTGTTGGCAAAAAGAGGTTTAACACTCGTGTCCTTAAAGACTCTTGATGTTACAATCTCCCAGGGTGCCAGCCGATCTTTCTCTCTTGCAAGGAGATGTGGGATCCTTGCAGACTGGAAGGAGAGCATAAATTTCCTTGGCCAGGGCGTGGCAATTAGGGGTACTACAGATATAAGATCTATCTGGAAAAAAAGGAATATTTAACAAATCACGTAGGTACCCTTTAGCCATCCTCAGGTTATTCCACCTAAGTCTGGGGGCGTCACGGGAAAAAATGGCTAGACATATTTTATTAGGTTGAAAAATCAAGGATTGCCTATTCCTTTGGGGCAGTGGCGGCCTGCATCTTGAGCTCTTAAGGTGAAATTTCTGGTCAGGTTGTCTCTTTAAGGCACTTACAAGCTGCACAGGAGATTGATGCAAATTAGATAGCTCAGTTGAGGAAGGTAGATGAGCCAGAAGGGCCCGTGAAAGTTTATTCAATGTCAAAGAAATCCTCCAATTCCTTGAAAATGAAGCTTAAAGTCCTGATTACCAGTTGTATTTGATCAGGTACTAATTCATGGGCAGTTTGCCCTAATGCGTCCCGTTTCAATGACGGAGGTGTAATTAGGGTATCAGGGAGGAGGGCTTCCCTATGGCTTCCGTCCCCGCTGGATCAGCTAGCTTTTCCGGCTCTCCTTGATCATACAGAGGCCAAAAGCGGTTGTATGTTTCGACCGCAGAAACAATTACTTGCTCTGTTTTGCTGTTATTGTTAGTAGATGGTGGGGAAGATTCAAGCTTCGACTGCTTTACTCTTGGAGGTGAGCAACCTTTCTCAGCAGATCTTGGTCGCTTGCCATGACCCATTTGTCGCTGTCTCACTAACTACGGAGGTTCAAAGTAGAAATAAACGGAGATAAAAGAGAGAACTTATCTTTTATGGGCGCAACTCCTCTGCTACTCCTCCTCCTCCACTTCTCAACGTAGCCCAATCTTCAAGGCGGCGTTACTAATCAGCAACAGGCTTTCTCAGCAGAGGGTTTGAATATCCTTGTTGATACGTATATTGGCACCAACAGGCCAACCGTAGAGGTAAAACGATTAAAAACTTCTAACAGAAGTAAAATAATTTAAAAGTCTAATAAAACAACTATAAAAACGGCAGTAAAAAGCTATAAAAGGCTATAGAAGGTTTGTAATCCGGAGGGTTCACGAAGGAGAAGTTGTTACAGCCGCCATCTTAATCTCACCAATCTCTATAACAGTTTCACAAAAGATTATTTGTTTGTTTTTAAGGTTAAGGGAAAGACTTTTTTTAAAAAAACAACAACAAGCCAGGCCTTCTGGCTCCTGCGTTTCAATTAGAGATCAGAGGAAGACATCCTCACCTACCCAAAGTAGTCTCGACTAACATTCTCTTTTCCCTTCCTCCCCCACAACAAACAATCTGTGAGGTGAGTGGGGCTGAGAGACTTCAGAGAAGTGTGACTAGCCCAAGGTCACCCAACAGCTGCATGTGGAGGAGCGGAGACCCAAACCCGGTTCACCAGATTACGAGTCTATTGCTCTTAACCACTACACCACACTGGCTCTAATATACTGGATATAAATGCATTCCATGTGGTCACCTGGTACTGGACTCAGGCCATAGAACACAGTGCCCAGGTTGAATTTATGCCAAGACTCTTGCACATGCAATAATTGCATAGAAGGGGGAATTCTGCCATGGGCATCCATGACAAGCTACACTATGCCAAAACAAGTTGGACCTACTGAAACCCCTCATCCACACAACCATTAAAGGTACAGTATCTCAGTCCTCCATAGTATGTGGTCGCACTCTTATTGGGATAAAAGACAATACATTATATTCCATTCCTTGAAAGCTATATAAAACTATCAGGGCAATATATTTAAAAAAAGCACTTGTTTTTACCCCTGATGGCTTAAGCAATCTAAGCTGGTAACAATCCCTTTAGAAAATATTATTCTCCAAACTTTCCTGACAAGTTGGCCTAATTTAGCCTTTTGAAGATATGCTGAAAAGACACTCCATTATGAATAAAATATAACCAGTCTCCCTGTTTATTTGCTATATGACCAGCCCCACTTATTTCCAGACAGGCTGAATGAAGGCCTATGCAGTGTATGAGGCAAAATGTTGGATTTGGACCTGAGAGATCTTGATTCAAGTCCTTGCTCAGCCTGGTTAGTCAAGGACATATTGTTCTGCCTGTTTCCTGAACTTTCGTACTTGATTCTGAGGATTGTATAAACTGATTCTGATGGTCGTGTCTTGTGGATTGGTATCAGATGTTGTGGTCATCACAGCTATAGCTATAAATGAAGCAGAGATGGCGTATAGCTCTATCTGTGGAGAGCTGGACTATCAAAAGAAGCATTTATATCTCTGAATGACTGGCTTCACACCAGTTGATAACATGTGAAGATGAACGGCATAACGATTCTATGGCCAGGATCTAAAGACCCAGAAAACTAGTTCCCCATGCCCAAAGGGACCTTTAGGCTCCCATTTCTCAAACAGAAGTTGACTACACACAAGATATATAGTTCTTAGTACAGTCATCATTTAAGTGTCAGTGAAAATCACTTTAAAAGGCTCCAAACTCCCTGTAAACGTTGGTGCTATTTCAGAAACCAGAAATACTCGTTTTGCTTTTCTAGTTAAGTGTTTTATTGTGAAATCAGAGTTGCTGGGTGCTCAATAGATTTGACATCATACTTGTAGTTCAATCAAAGTACTGAGAGTTCAAGGTTCCGGGATGCTGCCTTTGAACGCACTGTCAGAAGAATTCAGGGACATCCTCCCTAACACTTCCTGCACACCTTCCCTTCATGCACGGTGAGCAAGTGGCAGAGCCTCATTACTCGATTCCTTAATGCACTGAGCCAAATATGGTGGATGCACTACAACAGAGTCTCAGGAAATAAACTCCAGCAAAATCTGTATCCTGTGCTTTACATGTCTCCATTTAGAACTCCAAATATACGTGGCAAATATTAACAATTGGTTATTTTTTTGTTTTGTTTTGTTTTTAGATGATTGTAGGGATTGCCTTTTTGCTGCAACATTTTTGTGAATTACTTGGGATACTGCGCATCAGGTTTCAACCCTTTTTCAAAGGTCTCAAAAGTTAAATCTGTGAATGGGGAGCCAGTCACAAGTGCACATATGCCCTATATACCATATTGACCCGAATATAAGCCGCACCCACAAAATTCGGTGGGGGGGGAGACAATACAGTGGTACCTCGGATTACAGACACTTCAGGTTACAGACGCTTTAGGTTACAGACGCTTTAGGTTACAGACTCTGCTAACCCAGAAATAGTACCTCGGGTTAAGAACTTTCCTTCAGGATGAGAACAGAAATTGTGCAGTGGCGGCACGGCGGCAGCGGGAGGCTCCATTAGCTAAAGTGGCACCTCAGGTTAAGAACAGTTTCAGGTTAAGAACGGACCTCCGGAATGAATTAAGTTCTTAAGCCGAGGTACCACTGTATGTGGGTTAGGATTGTTGTCTTACTTCAGAGAATATTTGCTATTTGCTAATTTTCAGCTCAGTATTCCCAAAGGCCCTTGTCAATGGTATTTACTGGAAAGGTATCAATGCTCATTACTTTGTATAAGTTCTTAACCAGAGGTACCACTGTACCCGAATATAAGCCGCTCCCTTAAATTTCTGCAGGCACTCACAGCAGTAAATGGCTAATGTAGAAGAAAATCCCACGGGTACTAGAGGGACCCGCAAGTGAAAGCGATGAATAGCATTAGAATTAATTGCCACAACAGTCTCAAGCTTGCAAATTGGCAAGAAAACTTTTTTTTGGGGGGAGGGGTTCCGTTTTACAGTATGTCTGTTTCAGCAGCGATATCATAAAAGCAAATTTTTGTAAGGCCGCAAATTTAAGCCGCACTTTAACTTTACATGGTTGGAATTGGGGGGGGGGTGCGACTTATATTCAGGCCAATACGGTAATTCAGTGGTGAATCAGAATCAGAAGAATCTTTATTTGCATCAGCCACCAGCCATAGCAATAAAATAAAACAAAATAAAATCCACTGAGAATACAGGTAAAAACTTAACTATAGAAAATACATCAATAATCAAATAACAGATCTTATTCTAAATGCCCCCGCGTACATTCAAGCACAGAAACAATAAGAAGACACCATGCAGTACATGACTTACCACACCCCAAGCTTCAGCAATTGGGGTCCATAATTTTTAAACAACTTTTATTTTAATTCAGTGTGGGAGGACTATTGCAGAGTAAATGACTAAAGCAGCACCCCATTTACACGGAGGTGACGTTCCGAGGCACTGCATGCATTGGTGAAATTGCATATAATTGAAACCCATTGAAAAAGCCTGCAAACAGCCTTTCCACCCCCCCTGTTCCACTCTGCTCTACCCCTGCTCCGCCCTTTTAGTCATGTCTTTAGGATGTTTCCAGGTCACTTCTGAGTTCGGTGCGATGTCTAGGTAGCAATTGTTAGTGTCAGACAGTCAGATGAATGTAAAGTAGCCTTCCAAATGTTTACCCAGGATGGGGATAAAATGCAGATCGTAGCCAGGTTTCTGCAACACACGGTGAGGATTCATGGATGTTATATAACTGTATTTTAATTGTTAGATGCAGATTTTGAGGAGTGATTGTATTGTACCAAACCTTTCTGAATTTTGTCTATATGCCAATAAAGGATTGAGATTGAGGTGGCACAAGTGAACAAGAATAGCCTTATTATTATTTGTGAGTCAACAGTAAATGCAGTAAATGTCTTGTTTCTATTCTAATGGCACATGAATGCTTAGAAACTATTTTTCATGTGTTTGTTGTACATTCAGGCATCCGAGATGGAATGGAGCCCATGGAGGTCTTGGTTCCGGAAGCTTCGTTTTGGCTTCATGTGAGGTGTTTACAAAACTTGAAATCAAATGAGGAGCAGGCTCAAGGTGAGTTATTTTCTTGCAGCACGAAAATGCATCTGTGGCAGTTGTTTGGCAAGTTGGCTTTGTTGGCTCCACCTCTGCCTATCTGTTTCAAGCTGCAGCTAAGTTGTCGGATAGCAGCACAGCAGCATCCTACCTTGTCCTAATTCCACACCCAGCTCAACCCAGGTCTGCCTGGCACATGCTGGTGATCTCCTTTCTGGATGCCAGCAGCTACAACTGACTCTGTTTTCACAGCCTAGGACCCTCACACCTATGGGACCGCCTCATGGAGGACCTTAAGGTCCATAAATAGCAACACCCTAGAGGTCCTGGGCCCTAAGGAAGCCAGATTAGCCTCAACCAAAGCCAGGGCCTTTTCAACACTGGCTCTGGCCTGGTGGAACGCTCTGTCTCATGCGACCAGGGCCTTGCAGGATCTGATTTCTTTCCGCAGGGCCTGTAAGACAGAGTTGTTCCACCTGGCCTTTGGCTTGGAGTCAGTTTGATTCCCTCCCCCTCTTTCTTTTTCTTTTCTCCTCCTGTGATGAGGCTGCATTTTAATTGTTTTAATGTTGTATTTTAATCTTGTTTTTAAGTTGTATTCATTCAACTCGTTTTTATTTTTGGTTGTTGGCCGCCCTGAGCCCAGCCTTGGCTGGGGAGGGCGGGGTATAAATCAAATTTATTATTTATTATTATTATTTTCATTGGGCAGGTGGGAAGAGGTGGGACCAGCTATCCTGCGACATACCAAGGTCCCTTGTGCTAAGTTGGTTCCAGAGAAGGGAGTTCCAAAAACCAGGAAGGGTGGAAGAATTTCTCAGAAGGGGAACTTGGTGCCAAGCCCTCCCAGGCTTTGAGGAGCAGCAGAGCTGTTTCTCATCCTGTTTTGCCTCTTGATACTTGCAAGAACCATCATTCTCTTGATTAACACTGTGATCTGCAGCTGGCTATCAGACTTTTGTTCTTATGGGCTAAGATTTAATTTCTCAATAATTCACACGGGATATGAAAGCCCTTTTTAATTAACTTTGTTCCATAAACAAATGAGTAACCCACCCACCCCCTTCATGATCAGCTCTGCTTCCTTTCTAAAATTGCCATGGTAGCTTTAATATGTCAATACTAATAGCGCTGACACAAATCCATTACCTCTATCTATTGTGCCTCAATTCAAAATGAGATTTTGTTACATCATTTAATGTTAATACACACAGTAAGTGTGGATGGGTGTTAAAGGTCTCCTGTCCCCTAAAATGGCAAATGCAAATAGTTTTAGGCATGTCCCCCAATCTGCAGTCCAGACACTCATGTAGAATTCACTGTATTATTAACTTTCAGTACAAAGGTATACATGTCTACTTAGAAGTAAGTCTCTGTATTTAATGACCTGCATAACAAGATCAGCCAAGTCAACAGTAGCCTGTGAAGTCATGTATGGTGCAGATTTACAGTAACTGTGCCTGGTTTTAGTCCCTGACTAAGACTGCAAAAAGTGGAGGGGAGAAACAAGATGGCTGCCATTGTGTACAGCTGCTGGGCTTTCTTCAGTTTTGTGACCCAGAGGTTGTGGAGGCTTGTTCTAGAGGCTGGATGAGGGATGAAAGATAAATAAATGGTTTCTTCATGCAAAATTGTATTCAGCTGATCTATCGGGTACTAGTTCTCTGTCTCTGTCTCTTTCTCTTTGGAGTCTCTGTCCTTCACTACCTCCTAAAAAAGTTTTCACAGTAGTTTTGGCTGAAGTCTTCGGAGACAATGTCCTGATGCAGAAGAATGTCAGAAGAAATCTATGTTGACAGCACTTAATTAGTCAAGAGGATAGCCTATGGAGATGACATTAAAATGTCAAATTATGTCTGTAGAGATAGTGTGACGATGTCAAGACGATGGCCAAAGACTATAGGATACATTCAGGGAATCTGCTAGAATGCCAGAGATAGAATTATGTAAATTAATTATTTCAATAGCACCTATATATATATCCCTAGCTTTGAGCATTTAAAAAATAATAAGTGTGTGTTGTTTCTCAAAACAGTGTCATGACATTTTGACACGGACCATATTTCCTCTCAAGCAGCTACAGTTGCCAACTGAGCTGTCCAGAATTTAGGGATCATCGGGAGTTTTAGTTTCCAGAAAGAAGAAGGGGGAGCCCATTCTGCACCCTATCTTTTTATTCCATCCACATTTATGTAATTTTAAAAGTTGCATTGGTTTGGGTGCATGAGTGCTGTGTACCAAGAGTTTATTTTATTTACTTAAAACCATTTTTAATCTGCTTAATAGCTAAAATATCTCCAAATCTGTAAGAACACACATACACAGTGTAAAACAGTATGGAAAACGGGGATTGAAAACAAAACAAAAATCTTAATCTTATGGGTCTGGGAAAGCTGGGACAAAATGGTATGTCTTTACAAGACATCTGAAGCAACTGATGGGTGGTGCATCATAAACAGCAAAGGGGAAAGCATTCCAAAGTCCAGGGAAAAGGGTGAAAAGTACCTGCTTTCAGGTCACTATCCTTTGATAAGAATAAGGTGTGGTGCCACAAGTAAATTTCCCCAGGTGATCAAAATGATCTCACAAGTGTATACAGGGGCAAGCAACCCGTTCCTGAGTTATCCAGGGCTGTATACATTAGTAACAAAACACTGAACATGACTCAGTGGCTAATCAGCAGCCAGTAGAGTTCCCTCTGCACATGTGCAACATGTGCGCATCCAGATATCCCACTCAGCCTGGCCGCAGCATTCTGGGGAACAGTTTGTTTCATTAGACATATTGTGCCAAGCGGATATTGGGTAGAGAGAGCCATTCCAGGCATTTACCTGAATCTCAAACTGTCCAAACCTTGTATCCATCCATCTGCATGCACATTGGCCCTGATTTTCCTATGTTAGATGGGTAGGTTTGTAAGGGACTTGTACTTGCTTCAATTGAATGGGAGTAGAACCCTCCTTGTGATTTGGGACACTGCATTATCAGGAGCAGTGGAAAGTTTGAAATGGGCACCAGCACTGTTGGTATTACTCGGTGTTGCAGTGATGCTAATAGAGGAGCATGGCTGGCTTCCTGTCTCATGTCTGGAGTCACATGGGGGCAGCCATAGGTGCACTGAAAACAGACATGCCTCATGGTGCAATGTCACAGTTGCCAGCCCAGCCTTGCTGATTGCCTGAGATGGGCTCATTGCAACAATATACATTTGGCAGGGTGTTGCGACCCGATCCCAGCTCCTTGATGGCAGTATTTTAAGGAAGGGATTCAAGCACATACTGGGAATTTAGTGTTATGCAATCAAAGTGGATGAAAGTGCTCTTTCATTTTAGAGTAACAAAAACACCAGAGAGAGAGAGAGAGAGACCTTTTGCAAACATCCCCAAAGCAAATCAGGATAAATGCCCATTGTTCTGTAATCACTCCACAAATTACTATAACCTAACCTCCATACAGGGGGACGCGGGTGGCGCTGTGGGTTAAACCACAGAGCCTAGGACTTGCCGATCAGAAGGTTGGTGGTTCGAATCCCCGCAACAGGGTGAGCTCCCGTTGCTTGGTCCCTGCTCCTGCCAACCTAGCAGTTCAAAAGCACGTCAAAGTGCAAGTAGATCAATAGGTACCGCTCCGGCGGGAAGGTAAACGGCATTTCCGTGTGCTGCTCTGGTTCACCAGAAGCAGCTTAGTCATGCTGGCCACATGACCTGGAAGCTGTACGTCGGCCCCCTCGGCCAGTCAAGCAAGATGAGCGCCGCAACCCCATTAGGTCATGACTGGACCTAATGGTCAGGGGTCCCTTTACCTTTAACCTCCATACAAGCTTTGTGCAAGCAAATCGAGATCAGTGTACAATACCAGAAAACAGGTTTTCTTTAGGAGCCCTTAATGTTTGCTGCGTGCATCGGAACACCCACCCACCCTCCCTAGGTATTGGTCTTTGTGTTGACCTTGCTATGCCTGTCATGGGGTCATCTGATTTGGGGGCAGGAGCCTGGTAGGAATTTTGTCCAGTTGGCTGGTGCCATCTGGTTTTTGCCTACTGCGTAGCAAATCGTCACAACTTGTAAGGTTGTGGTTAGGTAAAGGTGAAGGTGAAGGTACCCCTGCCCGTACGGGCCAGTCGTGTCCGACTCTAGGGTTGTGCGCTCATCTCGCTCAAGAGGCCAGGAGCCAGCGCTGTCCGCAGACACTTCCGGGTCACGTGGCCAGCGTGACGAAGCTGCTCTGGCGAGCCAGCACCAGCACAGCACACGGAAACGCCGTTTACCTTCCCGCTATAAAGCGGTACCTATTTATCTACTTGCACTTAGGGGTGCTTTCAAACTGCTAGGTGGGCAGGAGCTGGGACCGAAAGACGGGAGCTCACCCTGCCGCGGGGATTCGAACCGTCGACCATACGATCAGCAAGTCCTAGGTACTGAGGTTTTACCCACAGCGCCACCCGCGTCCCTAAGGTTGCAGTTAGGCATTGGTTAAAAAATTGGTTGGTGGAGAGGTATGGACTGGTGGTGCCTGCCCCTCCAATGCTGCTGCTGCAAGGGAATTCCGTTAAAGGAATCTAGGGGCTTGCCATCCTTTCGTCCAAATCCCTGTTTGGGGCTTGGGTCACGCAAGCCCCTGGGAGCATGCAGGGGGAGGTGAGGATCTGGTGCCTGGCTCCATGCTCCCCCCAATATTGCTTTCCCTGACTGGCTTTTGCTGGAATCCAGAAGTCAGTCCTGTCTCAATGGCGGTGACAGATAGTCGGAACCAAGCCTAAGCAACCACTCACTTTTATGTATTTTAATAAAGTTGTGGCCAAAATTATGCCAAAAACCTAAAACAAAAATTATGTGTGAATTGTGATTTATTTGGGGGTGGCTTGTGGGACCTTGACACGCAAAGCTCTCAGCATACAGGAAAATAGTTCTGCATTAGAAGGAATTATATTTGTGTTGGGATAAAGCAGTGTGGCATGGCCTTTAGAGCAGATATTTTCCTTCATAACAGTACACTGGCTGGCGCAAATCTTCATCTCAAGAAAGAACTATCATTTCTTTTGAATTCACCTTTCTGAAAACAAAAGGAACAGTTGGAGTCACAACAATCCCCTCTGCTGGAATACTTCCAAGCCTTTATATGCCGAAAACACTGGTGCATGTGCTCTGCTCTGCAACTTTGGGCTCCTTTAGAGAATTACTTCATCCATTACAAATTCATGGTGACTATAATAGCAAGTTAGACCATATCAAACAGGGCTCAATTTCAATAGGGCTCAATAGAATAACACTTGCGCCAAATAATGGACCCTTCTGTAGTGTAATTATCTGCATCTGTTCTGACCCTGTCTTCATTTAACCTAAATTACGGTATCTTTATAGCTAAAGAATATGGTAGTTAGCAGGAGCCATCTTTGTACCAACAGGGCAAGTGGATACAAATTAGAGAGAAAGGCCATGAAGAGTTGTGTAGAAAAAGATTTTTTTTCCGGCAAAAATAGCTTGTCACATAATGGTGAAAAATCTTACAAAATCATCTTCTCTATACATTTAGTCAAGATACAGGGATCCTGTCCTCCTTTACATTTGGTCATCCTAGCTGCAGTCAAAAAATAATAATCCTTCAATTTGCTTTTTAAGCCCAGGTGTATTAAACCTTTCATATTTTCAACATCCTGAATGCTAGCATTGTATTGGGGCTGGAGGGTTGCACTGATCTACAAAAGGGGATGTGCAGTCTTCACCACACTGACAGGAGTCTTGCAGTTCCTGAATTGTGATTGCAATCTATTGTGTATATTATACACAACTGCCCATTCAATGCCCAGAGCAGGCTATTGTGCATCATGCCAGACTATCTCTCATTGTTCCCCATTCAAAAGAACAGACTAGGCAATTGGATATGTTAAGAGCCCACACCTAATGGTGCTCCGAATTGCTGCAGCGCAATTGACGAAATGGTATAGAACTCGTCTTCTCCCCTCTCTCCCCCCCTTTTTTTTGACCAGGGGAGGGTGAAATCCATGGAATTTGTTTGTAAAACTATTGCTTGCTGAGACCAATTATCAACATCAAATATGCAGTTGCCACTTTGGAAACAGGAAATTGCAGCTCTTCGGCAATCCTAATTTTAGGCCACTTCAGTATTGGCATATGTGGATTTGGGTCTGTAGGAACCATGTGATCTGTCTCTCTCATACTCATACCCACTTTGCAAACTAATTTGACATGAATTGATGTCACTTCTGCCCCTTCCATATTCTGTGCAGCCCACTGAAGGATTGGTTGAATTATTTTACATTGGAAAAATGAATTAAAATAATCAGTGCTATCACAGACTAGCTGTCAAGTAAGATAAAAGTCAAATGCTGACCCTAGAAACGAAAGATGATATGGAGCCCAGTCTTAAGTATGTTAGTTAAGTAATTCCCACAGTGTTCAATGGGTGTTATTCTCAAGTTAGTGAGCGCAGAATTACCTCCTAAAGCTGCAGTCCTATACATAATTCCTGTTGCTGTTGCTGTTGTATAAATTTGTACACCACCCTTCATCTGAATATCACAGGGCATTTTACAACATAAAAGTACAAAATGAGAACACAAAATACATAACAAAAGAACTC